TAATTTTCATTTCCTTGAGCCCATCTCATATCACTTGAGTATCGGCTATCCCTGTAGCTCCCATTACCACCACCACCATCACCACCGCCACCACCACCACCACCACCACCACCACCATCATCATCATCATCATCATTGTTATTATTCTTATCTTCACCATTAGTTGATGAAGATGAAGATTCCAATATGATTGCTTTTTTTTTTTTGGCCGTATTTTTGTTTTCTGATTTTTTCTCTTTCGCCTTCTTTTTTCCATCAGCTATGAATTGAGATAAAAACATATCATTGTCATGATCATTATGCTCACTTTGACCTCTATCTCCACTTTCTTCAATAGCCTCATCCAACCAATTTAAATCACTATCACGAATAAGTGGAGATTCATTTTCTCTGACCCATTCATCTAAAATATCATTTCCATAAAAAATATGATTCAAATCAATTGGATTATAAAAATCGTCTGTGTCTGTTCTTTGCATAAAATTTTTTACCCGAAGACGCATGTTGTAGTGGACATAGACTAGCTTATGCAGTTTCTCAATAGCTAATCTATTCCGAAGTTTAGTATGGATCAAAGCCAACGTACTCCAATTCCGCTCACAACCCGATGATGTGCAAGTTTGACTCAAAACTTTTAATGCAATTTTTCTTAAATTAGGGGCTTTATCACCGTACATATTCCACCAGTCAGCTATTAAAAATAAATAAAAAATTATTAATAATGCAAAATTTAATAACAAGTATGTTTAAAAATATAATTAAATGAAATTTTATAATACATACCTGGTAAAGATATAGATACAGCTTTAATAGCAAGTGCACTTCCAAACTCTCCAATTTTGTTAACAAATGTGTTTATCTATAGACAATATAATGGTAAAATTATTAGAAATTAATATATATTATTTATAAATTTCACACAATTTACCTCATTCATATCCTTTACTTGTATATCCAAATCTGGCTCGAGTCTTTTGATAACTTCTTTTACTCCTTTTCGAACCTCCGATGAATTAAATTCACAAGTGCCAGAGTCACTACAAAAAAATAATATATTTGTAACGGAATTCCGTCCCTAAAGTTCACGTAGCTAACGTAATTTCATTCCTAATTCTGTTTCTAATATAATTAGTAACGGAAAAAAGTAGATTTAGAGACAAAAAAATTTTGTTACAAAAGTAATTTTTTCTTGTAGTGAGTATTGAAGACTAGGATTTAAAAAATAAGCTGCATAAAATGTATATAAAATTAAAAAATAAAACAAACGATTAGCACAGTATAAAAATAAAAATAAAAAGGTAACAACAATAATTACTTGCTGCTTGCAAATCTTGATGCAATTGATTATACCATCTTGGGTAAACTGTTTTTCTAGTCCCGTAACTGGACCCCTTTATCATTTTAGTCCCATAAGTGGAGCCTGTCGCAAACTAGTCCCATAAGTGAAAAATTTTCGCTGTTTTAGTCCTCCGGCGCCGGAGACGCCCGCGTGGCTTGCCGAAGGTGACGTGTCCACCAGGTGTCCCGCCAGGTCAGCGACACCTGGCGGACACGTGGATTTAAACTTTTTTTCATTTTTTTTTAAATTTTTTTTAATTGGACCAAATAAAAATAATAATAAAAATACAAATAAAATTAAAAAAATCCACGTGTCCGCCAGGTCAGCGACACTTGGCGGACACGTCACCTCCGGCGAGCCACGCGGGCGTCTCTGGCGCCGGAGGACTAAAACAGCGAAAATTTTTTTACTTATGGGACTAGTTTGCGACAGGCTCCACTTACGGGACTAAAATGATAAGGGGGTCCAGTTACGGGACTAAAAAAACAGTTTACCCTACCATCTTTCATCGATGATATTCCAATATTGTTGAAAATCTTTCACCCCGGTTTTTATTGCCATTTTTGCCCTATCCATTGTTTCATAAATGATAGGTAGTGTAGGTTTTTTTATCTTGATCAACTACTTTTAAAACCTTCACTAAGAGTTCCATAACCCCACAAACTCGGCGTATCCGATTCTAAAATCTTTCATTCAAAATAAAGTCTGATATATCTCCGGCTTCGTGTCTTCTCCTCGAGGTATTATTGTACTCAACCCATTCTCTATAAGTACACATTCTTTTCAAATCGGTTGCATATCTCAAAAGACTTTCTATTGCAACAAACTCGGTTGCAAATCTTGTTATGCCTGGTCGCAACAGATCTCGGCCATTCGTATATGTTTTCATCAAATTGACCACTTTATCACTATTGTATATAAATCATGTAATTCTTCTGGCTTCTTTTATCGTATCTTTCACTAACAATATATCTCCGATGTCTTCTAACATCAAATCAATGCAATGCGCAGTGCATGGAGACCAAAAAATATGCTTCCTTTTCCTCATAAGTTTTTTCCCAGTTGCCTTCATACTAACTTCACTATCAGTTACAATTTGTACAATATTGTCAACCCCTACTGATTCCACCACCTTATCCATTAGGGTGTAGACAAAGTCCGCAGTCTTTGTCTTATTTGTACAATCAACCAAACTGTGATATATGATATCTCTATCACAGTACACCATAAAATTTATAATTGGATGTTTTGTGCGAGTACTCCAACCATCACACATAATTGTAAATCCGTATGTTTTCCATTTCTGCTTTAAAGAATCAACATACTGTACAACTTCTTGCATCTCCTCGTTTAAATATTCACCACCAATTTGCATACCAGTAGGTCCTTTAACTCCAGGTCCAACCGATGCAATCGTGTCAATCATCGTTTGGTAGTAAGGACCACTATCGGCAGCGTGAAATAGTATAGCATTATAATGAAAAAATTTCGAAATTGCTCTACCCACTTTTTTCGCATTATCTTTTGAAAACATATTTTTCAAAAACTTATTCTTCGATTGAAACATGTATGGATCAAGTTTTTTTTTATGCAAACCTTCTGTCTTTTTCATGGAGCTTTCGAAAAAATTTCTTTTACTTCCTTTTGTATTCGAGCTGCTTCCTCCTACAAAGATAAAAAAAAACATATGATCATATATGGTTGTTATCTCAAAAAAAAATATACTAATATTTAAATATATTTTATAAATTCAATAAATATACCAGCTTTAAAATTCAAGCTTGGTAGATCTCCGGATACAAAATGTCTACGCTGCTGCTCCATAAATTCCATATTTCTGCTTTCAGGTCATTGCTCTTTTTAAGTGTTTTTCTGAGCATCTATCTCATCTTCATTTATTTCAAAAACTTCATCTCCTTCCTCATCAAAATCATCTTCCAAACGAATGGAATTGTGCAATGGTTCTAACTTTTTTTTATGTGTTGTTCACATGCTTTTTCCTTGGATCAAGTGTTTTTTATTAACTCTCTTATTTCTTTTGGAGCTCTCGTGCATGCTTCAACTTGACCTGTAACATGTGCTATATGTTGTTTCATCCTAGTAATTCCGCGGTGAACAATTTTACCACAATAATTGCATTTTGCTTGTTTTCTATCGTTGTTGATAGGAGTAGCATGATCTCAATATCTGTGTGTGATGCTATTTTACACAAACTCTGTAATTGAATAATAGAATTGTTAAAATATTTCTAAATAGTAATTCATTAATTAACTAGACAAATTATATATATATTAGTTTATTAATAAATCAAACTTAAACAAAAATTTAACTAGATAACTAATTTATTTATATAAAAAATCTAGTTAAAATATTAATTTTTTACAATAAATTTACAGTTAATACAAATTTTGTCTAAAATAATATTAATTTTAAATAATAAAGTTACAAGTTATTCTAAAATATTAATTTTAATGAACTCAATTTATATAGATTAAATAAAAATCAAATACAATCCAAAATAATTAAATTGAATTTATCAATTAATTGAACAAATTATTCTAAATAATTAAATCTAAAATAATTAAACTTATCAATTAAATAAACAAATTAATCAAAATAATTCAAAATTAATTTCAATCCAAAAATAAGTAAAATAATTAATTTTATACTATATTTATAAATATTTAAATTAATTAAAATAATATGATAATTACCCCTCTTTCCTTCCACTCCCACATTATTCTTCCCAGGTTCTTCTTCAACGCTCACAACCTTAGCGCACAGACGCAGCAGCGACCGGCGACAGCCTCCAGCGAAATTTCTTCGCCAATTCTTTCTCAACACCGACGATTCCAAAATCCACCTTCCAGCACCGTGATATTCAACCAAAACACTTCGTTCTTCAGGTAAATGTTTTCTTTTCCAATCTGGTCGAATTGAGATGAATCGGTATGTATAAAAAGTAGAAAAAATGGTAAGAAAAAGATTTAAAATCGATTTTAGATAACATATGAATGGATGAGAGAATTTTGTCAAAATATCCGATATTTTTTACGAACCAGAGCCGATCCGGCGAACCATGCTTATACTATAAATAGACATGTATATTTATTCTAACAAGTGTAATATATGACCTAGCCGCCCTCAATAAATCAGTTTCTGCACTCGACACATTGTTGATGAATCACTTAAATTTGTGTGTTTTAAATTTTCTGTTTGTTATTCGATCATTGATTCTAATTTATCACAAGATATGCTAAAATAAAATATTGACTTATATTAATTATATAAATCAAATTAAATATCTATGTTATATGCAATCCCATCGATCAAAAATTTCATAAAAGATCAAAAGTTTCATAAAACTGATATAAATTTTAAGATATAGTGAATTTTAAACTAGAAGCATGCTCGGATTGAAGATGACAAATATTGCAGAGAAGAGAGAGACGTCGGATCAATTCTTATCTCATGCCAGATGTTCATCGACGGCGGCAGTGGAGTTACGCCCTGTGCTGTGCTGTTCCTTCAATCAATATAATTGAATTGAGTACGCAACCAAACCATACGATCCTTCCTTATTCCTTAGCAGAGCATCGTTCATCAACTGCAAATTTGCAAATGTGTTTGTCCTTTCCACGTTGCATACCCACTCGCCTACGCGTAAGTAAATTCTTGTCGGTCCCTCCCTCTCTCCCTTCCACTGCTACTTCTACATATAAATAAATTAATAAATATAACAATTATCCAAATCAATCGCATCCCACCCACCGTCCCACTTCTTCATCTTCATCATCAATTCAATTTTGGGTGCGGGTACCTTTTTAGTTTTATCCCTTTCGGAATCTGTTCTCGGTGGTTGGAACAATAACAATAATAATGGTGCGTCTGAGCAACAATTTACTGGGGATTCTGAACATAGTGACGCTGGTGCTGTCGATTCCGATCATCGGCAGCGGGATCTGGCTGTCGAGGCAGGCGACGACGGAGTGCGAGCAGTTTCTGGAGCAGCCGGTGATCGCTCTGGGTGCGTTTGTTCTGTTGGTATCCATAGCCGGGTTGGTGGGATCTTGCTGCAGAGTCTCGTGGCTGCTCTGGCTCTACTTATTCGTCATGTTCCTCTTGATTCTCCTGCTCTTCGGCTTCACCATCTTCGCGTTTGTGGTGACCAATAAAGGCGCTGGCGAGGCAATTTCGGGCAAGGGTTACAAGGAGTACAGACTTGGGGGATATTCTGATTGGCTCCAGAAAAGGGTGAGCAAGCACTGGGACAGGGTCAGCAATTGTTTAATGACCACCAACATTTGCCACAGGATGCTCGAAGATCAGTCCACCGCTGCTCAGGATTTTTACAGGAGACACCTCTCAGCCCTTCAGGTATCATCAACTCAAATGCTCGGAATTTGTTTGCCAAAATGCCTGCCTCAATCAATCAATCAATCCAAAACAAAACCATATTCACGAGCTGAATCCAACATAATAGAATTTTTTAAAGTGTTTGTGTTCATTTCTTACAAGTCTTGTGTTCGCTTGTTGTTAAGTATTCGAGTTCGTTGCCACTGTTCGAACTCAATTGTTAAGCAATTTTTATTGTTTAAATTCGTGTTTGGTTCGAATAATTTTGTTTGAGCTCAGACATGATATTTTATTTTATTTTTAGGCAAAAATTTTCATAATTTTCTTTTCCAAACGTTGCATAAAATTAGTTTATAATTTCGACACTAAGTATAAATTCCTAAATTGTACGGCGCCCCTCATAAAAATATTGGCTTGAAACCTCCCACCATATGCAAAATAAATAGGAAATCATTTCCTCGTAATACAGAAGTTTCATGAAGTTTCATGGAGATGTGTTTTTATGCAAAGAAAAAATTTTCATTGAAAACACATGTAAGCAATTTTACCTTATTTTTAAATTCATATGTTTATATTTTAACGAATATCCTCAAAAAAGGTTGAGGTTGAGATTCGTTCCTTAACAAAACAAGTCTATTGGGCTGCCTGTACATTAATTTGATTAATAGCATTTGTAATTGATTGTAAGGTAAGGTCCCTTGCCTTGCCTTGCCTTGTTCTAGATCATGAATCTTGGTTTATTTCCAACAGTCTGGGTGTTGCAAGCCATCGAATGACTGCCAATTTGTGTACGTGAGCCCGACCAACTGGACTGGCACGTCTGAATCGAGCAATCCTGACTGCGGCAGATGGAGCAATGATCCGAATGTGCTGTGCTACAGGTGTGAGGCTTGCAAGGCGGGGCTGTTGGACAGCATAAAGAGCAACTGGAGGAGAGTAGCTGTGATCAACATAATATTCCTGGTATTCTTAGTTGTTGTTTACTCTGTAGGATGCTGCGCCTTCCGCAACAACAGGGAGGACAACAGCCGCTGGGGTAATTGGAAAATGTAGTAGTTGTTCATGTGTTCTTGTAGAAATTGATTATGTCTGAAATTTGGATGTGGATGTGGATGTGGCGGTGTGTTTAGGCATTTTACATTTGCTGATAGACAGACAGACAATTAAGTAACCCGTGTATAATATTTGTGCTCGTTTGTTTGTAATCCAACAGTGGGTTTTCTTCTGTGCGTGCATCTGCATCTGCATCTGTGATCGAGTAGTCATGTAAATGTTTATTACGTAAGAGTCGGACCCGACCGACCCTTTTGCGATGCATGAGCGGCATCATATCATTTGAAAACGTATTTTAGGATTTCATCTAATTATTTTGATGTGAAATGTGAAATGTGTTGAGGTTGAAGCAAGCAAATGTTTGTTTGGTGGATTGTCTTGTCCTCTGTGGTTGTTGGCATTGTTTTTTGGGAGTTTTATGTTATATAAAGCTTTTGTAGTGATAGTTAAAAAAGGGAAGGGTGTTTGTGTGTATAGGGGTAGATTTGATTTTGGTTCGTCTAAAGATCGAGGCGAATTCTTCATATCACAATTTTGGTTTCGGTAATCGAATCCTTGGTTTGAAGCATTTTGATTCGTCAAAAGATACATGGTTTTGGTTCTTGTTTATATTATTCTGTTGTAACCTAAAATTTAGAAGCTCCAAAATCATTCGTCAATTCTGTCAACGTGGGTTCCGAAAGTACTCCAAAGAGCCTGTCTCTCGTTGGATTTTTGGGCGGATCTGACGGTAGAGCCTGCGCAGCTTTGAGCCTAAACGAGGGTTCAATGGATTTAAACTAAAACCTACTAAAACTCAAATAAATCTACTGAAAAACGGATAAAAACATATTGAAAATATAAATTAGCAAGAAATTTGGATAATATCCTAAAATCAATGGATAAACTAGAAAATAAAAGGATAAAAGAGACTAAGGATGAGATTTGTGTTCGTGTGTGTTGTGTGTTTTCCTATATTTATCCTTAAATCAAATAACTATATCTTCTACTAAAAAGGTAGTTTCACTTATTCCTTCCACTACCTCTACCTCTAACTGTCTAATAACGTCCTTTCATCAGCTTCCAACCACCTGGTAATCTCCTTCCATCAGCTTCCAACGGCTTTCATTGCCTCTAGACCAGGTTCCACTTGCTCTGAACTTCTTTCATTGCCTCTGGACCGGATTTGCTGCTTACTCCGACTTGCTTCCATCGTACTCCTAGCCGGTCCATGAGGATGTGTCCCCAACAGCCTCAAGTTACATGAAATGTTCATTGTTCTTCTTTTTGGCTTGACCCATGGAGCCTTCCACATAGAACGCGTAAGTGTCCGGGTCTTCCATTGATGTTACGAAATTATTAACCTAGGGTCAATGGAGGTGGTTATCCCATAATTTGTGGAAGCTGTTGTTTCTGTCTTGTGGAAACAATCTTCCTCTGCTTTGTGAAAGCATCGCAGTCCAATGGAGGCAGCAATTTCTGACTTTATGGAAGTATTGTTCCGGGATGGAGGCGCCATAGTCCAAGGAATTGTTGCCCCAAGGTTAATAGAGGTTGCTGCCCCAGGATCTGTGGACGTTTCTGCTTTCGACCCTATGGAGGTAGCAATCATTTGCTTGGTGGAGGCATCACAGTCCAATAAAAGTTGTTCCCTTCGGCTCTGTGGAGGCAGCAGTCTTTGGCTCCGAGGCTTGAAGCTCCATTGTTGTTGGGCGGCTCCGTGGCCCGGGAGCTCTAGCTCCACTTTTGTCTTCGAGCCTCCTTTATGTTCGGGTGCTTTTGGACCCATGTCCAACAATGCCCTCCTCAAAAAGGGCCGGGTGATTGCTTCCATTGAGCTCATGTTTTTTTGCTTTGAGCCATTCGCTTGAATCAACTGTGGTCACTTCCGTCGACAAGGGATCCTTCTAGGCCTTCACTTTTTGGACTTCATTTCCATCCCAAAACATCAACTTTTGATGGAGTGTGGAAGGCACACACTCGCATGCATGAATCCAATTCAGTCCCAAGAGAGCCGAATAGAATGGCCTACTATCAATCACCATGAAAGTTGATGATATTTTCTTTGTCCCCACCTGCACACTCAAAGCGATCATACTTGCCGGTTTGTAAGAATTTCCCATAAAATCGGTAAGCCATACAAATGTAGAAATCAAATCGTCACTAGTCTTTCCAAACTTCCGTAGGGTCTAAATTGGAAACATATTCATTGAAGCTCCACTGTCCACCAGAACTTGGTCAAGTGGATAGCCATTCATCGAGACCCCAATGTGCAAAGGCTTGACAAGTTGGTTTTGGCCAGGCCCGAGCCTCATAAATCCTATCATGGTTGCCACATCATTCCATTCGAAGATAAACTCTTCGTCAACGATAACTTCTTCTACCTCTTGAAATTCTTCCGGAGGCTCCTTCACTTGCTTCTTTTTTAGAAAATACTCCACAACCTGCTTCCTAAACAGTTCCACAACCTACTTTCTTTCTTGAAGCGGCTCTACAACCTGCTTTCTCTCTGAAAGCGGCTCCACAACCTGCTTCTTTACCGGCTCCAGAGCCTGCTTCCTTGGCAGCTCCATGATCTGCTTCCTTGGCGGCTCCATGGCCTACTTTCTTTCTGGAAACGGCTCCACAACCTTCTTCCTTAGTAGCACCACAACCTGCTTTCTTTTTTGAAGCGGCTCCACAACCTGCTTCCTTTAAAGCTCCAAAACCTGCTTTATTTCAAGAAGCGGCTCCATAGCTTGCTTCCTTTTTTGATGAGGCTCTTCCATTTGCTTTTCTTTCGGAGACGGCTTATTCACAATCCATTTTTCATTCTCTTTCACGATAGGAGGCTTCCATGTCGCCTTGGGAATGATGGTGATCTGGTCAGCCGTGGTAACAGTCCAAATCCGTTTTTCATTTGTGAGTTTCACTTATGCTACGATGGCCTCCGGCTTGGTCTTTTGTATACTTTCTTCTTTTCTGATCCTGAGGCTTTCAGACTTGGGATGATGACACCGACATTAGGCTCTTTCTTGGCCGTCTTTGGTCTTGCCTCCTCTATGTTCAAACTTCAGCCTTTACCATATGTCATTCTTGTGAAGACAGATTTTTTAGCGGATGCCTTTAGTCCTAGACAATCTTGAAGCGAAGGTTTTGACGGCTAGGTTCCAAGCCCATCTTTCATCAGCTCCAATGCCGGACACAAATAAGTCTTTTCATTTTCTAAATTTAGTAGCCAAAGCTTCTGCCTCCACAAAGCTCTTTTAGTCTGAAGGAGCTAGAGCATCTGCGCCTGCAGGCTTTTTTTTGTATGGAGCCTCCATGAGCTCAGGAGCCTCTACCCCTTTTTTTCTGTTTGGAGCCTTCATGGTCTCTAGAGTATCTACCTCCGCAAACTTTGGAGCTTCATGGCTTCTGGAGCCTCTGCTTCCGCAGACTCCTTTTCAACTGGAGCCTCCACAGCCTCTGGAGTCTCTGCCACTGCAGCTTCTTGTTTGTATGGAGGTGAATTTTCCGTGCTCAAAGTGGCACTAGGCTTCTTTTAAAACCTTCTTTTTGAAAATACCCTCCTTATGCAATCTGCGATGAAATCAACGTCCATAAGAAGCTTGGCCTCCAGTTGATTTGTTGTCAGTAGCTACACTCCGGCTGTCTGTTGATGGAAGGTTGCCGGCTGCATCTCTGCGGCCTGCCCTCCTTGCCCTTGTGTTGCGATGGTCCTCTTCTATTGAAGATTAGCCACGTACGGACCGTGGCATCCCCATGACAGTGTTGGCGCATTCCATGTAGGTTGTTTGCCGAATCGCCCTAGCGAGATCATATCAAATGCTAGAAATTTGTCTACCCCTGGTGGATGCTCAGCACTGATCTCCAAAAATCCAACGGCCAAGGGGTTCCAGCCCTCCGTAGGCTGTCGCCAGCCCTTCGCAGCCTATTGCCAGCCCTCCAAAGGCTGTTGATTCCAGCCCACCGCAGCCTGTTGGTTCCAACCCGATGTTGCTTGCCCCGGCTCTAAGGCTTAAAGCATTGGATGTTCTGCGACAATTCCGTAGCTTTCTTCAAGCGGTACAAATGAACCCCCTGTAAACCTCGACATCACTCTTCAAAAAATCCGACTTTGGTCCCACTGGGCGTGCCAATTGTTGGAACCTAAAATTCAGAGGCTCCAAGACCGTTCGTCAATTCTTTCGGTGTGGGTTCCGGAAGTACTCCAAAGAGCTTGTCCGTCGTCGGATTTGGAGGCGGCTCCGACGGTGGAGCCTGCGCAGCTTCGAGCCTAAACGAGGCTTCGATGGATTTAAACTAAAATCTACTAAAACTCGGATAAATCTACTGAAAAGTGGATAAAAAGATGCTGAAAATATAAATTAGCAAGAAATTCGGATAATCTCCTAAAATCTATGGATAAACTAGAAAATAAAAGGATAAAAGAGACTAAGGATAAGATTTGTGTTCTTATCGTGTGTGTTGTTGTTTTACTATATTTATCCTAATATCAAATAACTACCTCTTCTACTAAAAAGTTAGTTTCACTTATTCCTTTTATTACCTCTAACTGTCTGGTAACCTCCTTCCCTCAGCTCCCAACCACCTGGTAATCTCCTTTCATCAGCTCCCAGCCGCTTCCGTTGCCTCTGGATCGGGTTCCACTTGCTCTGAACTTCTTTCATTGCCTTTTGATCGGATCTGCCGCTTACCCCAACTTGTTTCCATCGTATTCCTAGCCGGTCCACGGGGATTTCTCCCCAACAGCCTCGAGTTACATGGAATCTTCATTCTTCTTCCTTTTGGCTTGACCCATGGAGCCTTCCACATAGAACGCGTATGTGCCGGAGTCTTCCATTGATGTTACGAAATTATTAACCCAAAGCCAATGGAAGTGGTAATCTTATGATCTGTGGAAGCTGTTGTTTTATGTCTTGTAGAGGCAACCTTTATTTGCTTTGTGGAAGCACTACAGTCCAATGGAGATGGAGGCATCATAGTTCAAGGAGTTGCTGCCCAAGGTTAATGGAGGTTGTTGCCCTAGGATTTGTGGAAGCTGCTACTTTTAGCCTTGTGGAGGTAGCAATCATTTGTTTTGTGGAGACATCACAGTCCAACAGAAGTTATTGCCTTCGACTCTGTGGAGTCAGCAGTCTTTGGCTACGAGGCTTGAAGCTCCAATTTGTTTGGCGGCTCCGTAGTCTGGGAGCTCTAGCTCCTCTTTGGTTTTCGAACCTCCCTTACGTTCGGGTGATTTTAGACCCATGTTCAATATATTCATTTTTTTTTGAATTTTTGTTTTTTAATTTCTTAATTTTTATAATTTTATTTTATTTAAAATCCGTCAATCTTAATTTTTATTTTATTTAGATGTATTTTACTATAAAAAATTAATAATAATTAAAATATAAAATTAAGAATTGTGTTTTTTAATTTAAAAATTTATTAAGATAAATGTTATATTATTATAATGATAATATAATAAAATTTTATTTGATTGTTATATAATAAAAAAAACGATATAATAAATCTAGTAACCAACTACATTAAAATAAATTATAAAAATATTGTATTAAATAATAATATACTTGTATAAACATTATTATATAATCAAAAATTTACTCTTTATGTTTCAATCAAAAGAATATATAAAATTTTTGTAATAAATTAAGAAATAATAATATTTTATTAATAAGAGAAGTGTGTAAGAATTTTTTTATATTTTTGTCGTTCGATTTTATATATAAATTATACGTGTGTAAGGATATATTTATAATTTAAGTAAAAATTAAGAATATTTAGATAATATTGTATAATTAATTTTTTTATAAAATGAAAATTAATATTTTGAGGTAAGACAGATAAATATGATATAAATTGTAGTTTGAATTAAAACAAAGGAAGAGGAAGTAGGGGCGCATCTATGTTCGACCCAGTGGTGGCATGTGCCACTAGCGATTTTATTCTGATAAAGAAAATTTTATATGATTTATCAATTGTACTACCAGTGTGTGTCCAATAAAAATTTAAAATGTGTTGTTATCCAAAAATTTAAAATTTAAAATACCACAAGTATCAAAATAATTTAAATTCAATTCAATTCAAATAAACTGATTAGTTATAAAAAAATAATAATAAATATAAAATAAATATTATTATATTATTATATTTAATATTATCAATAATTTTTTATTTATATCAGTATTATTATTTAACATTATTATAAAAAATTAAAAATATATAATAACTTTAATTATATATAATATTTATATAAAAATTGGGTCATAAATCAAACAACTCAAACTCATTCACATTTACAAGAATCACAACCGCCTCTGTCTGCACAATGTTTTCCCCTCCATCTGGTGTGGCTGCTAGTGCTTCCTCTTTCTTCTTCAATTTAATCTAAGTATCTTTGAAAATTTATCTGTGGTTAGATTAGATTATTGATTTATTGTACTTTATTTTCATTTCGATTTTAATTCATAATTTATTTGTTCTTTGTTCTATTTCTATTTCAACTTTTAAGTGGAAGTAATTCCAACAATCTTTCTCAACCGATATGTTCTCTATCGACACCATCAAAGATAATTGAATTAAAAGATCTTTCGTGGGATCTGATTGATAGGCCAGGAATTTTGGAATATCACCCAAATCAAAGAGATGAAATAAGCCGATTGTATTTGCAAAGAGGGTCTTTTCAAACACGTGGTCATGTGTTTCCAACAAAAACAATCGGAAGTAAGGTACGGCGTTTTGTCCCAAAATAATTTGATGAGTTTCGTTGGTTGAAGTATAGTGTGAAAGCGGACAAAGCTTTCTGTTTATATTGTTATTTGTTTAGAGATTATGTTGGAAACCAAGGCGGGAGTGATGCCTTTGTGACGCAGGGATTTGATAGTTGGAGTGAAAAGGATAGATTAGGTATTCATGTAGGTGATGTTTCTAGTTTTTACAATAAAGCACAACAAAAATGTGAAAATCTAATGAAACAGAATCAGTCAATTGTTGTTGCATTTCATAAGCAAAGTGAAGCTGCAAAGAAAGAATACCGAATTAGATTAAATGCTTCAATTGATGTTCGTAGATTTTTGGTGAAAAATGCATTACCATTCCGTGGTCATGATGAGTCAGAAAATTCTACTTGTAGAGGTCTCTTTTTGGAAGCATTGTCATTACTTGGAAGTGCAAATGAGTCCATTCACAATGTTATATTAAGAAATGCTCCAAAGAATAATCAAATGGTGTCTCCATCTATTCAGAAGGGTATTGTGAATTGTTTTTTGAATGAAATACTTAAGTCCATTTTTGAAGAGATTGATAGTGATGCATTTGCATTGTTAGTTGATGAGTCTAGTGACGTATCAAAAAAAGAACATATGGCCGTGGTTTTAAGATACGTAGATGCACATAGACTTGTTAAGGAGAGATTTGTTGGTGTAGTTCATGTGATGGAGACATCGTCATCAACTCTTAAATCTGCCATCAATTCTCTATTTACTAAGCATGGATTGAGTTTGAAACATATAAGCTTGTCATTATTACAATTATTAAATACATATATTTTTATTATTTAATTTATATTTATTATTTTCAACTTTAACTGAATCAGGTGAGGGGTCAAGGTTATGATGGAGCGAGCAATATGCGAGGGGAGTTTAGTGGTTTGAAAGGTTTAATCTTGAAGGAGAACAACTTTACATATTATGTGCATTGTTTTGCTCACCAATTTCAGTTAGTAGTTGTTGTTGTTGCAAAAAACCAATGGTGTTGGAAACTTTTTTGACATGCTCGCAACAATGATGAATGTAGTTTGCGCTTCTTGCAAACGAAAAGATATGATTCGAGAAGGCTACAGAGATAGAATACAAGAAGCTATTTGTAAAGGTGAAATTGAAATTGGAAGAGGATTAAATCAAGAACTCTTTCTTATTTGGGCATGAGATACACGTTAAGGTTCTCACAACAGAACATTAGAAGGTTTGATTTATTTATTTCCGAAAGTTGTTGCAGTGCTTAAATATGTTAAAGAGGATGGCGATAATAGTTTGAGCCGGCATCAAGCAGATAGCCTTCTAGAATATTTTCAGTCATTTGATTTTGGATTCTATTTGCACCTGATGTTGCACATTTTAGGACTTATGAATGTGTTGCACGAGCTTTTCAAAGAAAAGATCAAAATATCATAAAAGCAGTCTCATTGATCGAAGGAACAAAAAAAAAAACATTGCAAACATTTAGAGGACATGGGTTTGATATAATTTTGCAGAGGGTCTACTCATTTTGTCAAAAGCATGGTGTTGAAAGGTTAAATATGGAGGATTGTTATGTTACTTCAAGAAATCGAAAGACCATCATCTCCAATCGGCACCATTTTGAAGTAGACATTTTCAACACTGTTTTGGATATGCAAATTCAAGAGTTTGGTGATCGATTTACTGAGGTTAGTACTGAGTTGCTTACTAATATGGCTGCTTTGAGTCCGCAAGATTCATTTTCTATGTTTGATGCATCAAAGTTAGTAAAGTTAAGTACATTCTATCCGTATGATTTTAAAAATATGGAAAGAAGTACATTGGAGCGTAAACTTGACATCTACTATGAGACTATGCTTCAAGATGAAAGATTTACCAACTTAGATGGTATCAGCAGCCTTGTTAGATTGATGGTGCAAACAGGAAAGCACATTTCATATCCTCATATCTTGCGATTATTGAAGCTAGCTTTGGTTCTACCAATCGTAACAACAACAATTGAAAGATGTTTTTCTGCGATGAAACTTGTGAAGTCATATTTGCGCAATCGGATGGGTGATGATCTTTTGAATGATTCGCTGATTTGTGCTATAGAAAAGGAAACACTTGTTAATGTTCCGAATGAAGCCGTAGTTAATCGCTTCCAAAGCATGAAAGAGCGCCGAGAACAGTGGTAGAAGGTAAATTGTTCGTATGCTCCTTTTTTTTTTAAATATAATCAGATTTTTTTATTTTAAAGTTTATATATTGTATCACCGGTGAATAATTTTTCTAGATCCGCCTCTGAGAGGAAGTAACATATAAAATACAAAATAATATTGTTACGTCAAATATTTGCACTTGGAAACAAACCAAGGCCCAAAGGCAGGCAAAGGCTCAAGTCCCCGGATGGAACAAACACTAATGGTGTGTTTGTTTGAAGGTTTGAATTTTGAGTTGAGATTTGAATAGTAAAAAAATTGAATTTGAATAGTTATATGATGTGATATAAATAAGTATTGATTGATATTTTGAATGTGAAATTGATTTTTAGTATAATATAAAAAATAAAAAAAATAGATGTTTAATATTTTAGAGGAAAAATTTTGTGTGAATAGTGAAAGTCTTCCAAAATCCTCCAAACAAACACATGATAAGGTGATCAAAATGGTACCTTATTGGATGTATGTCCCGACAGCGGCACCAAAGCCAACCGGGTCATAAGAAATGAGGTTTTCCATCTAACAGAGACACCCACTGTGATTTTCACCAAAGATGCTGGTAGTCTAATACCCACCCCACCAAGGTACTAAATTTTGATCCTAATAGATAAGCACCTTTAGGAGTAGGAGTAGGAGTAGGAGTAGTCCTGCAGGGAAGCACCTCCTTCCACACTCAAACGCCGGCTGACGTCAAGACACTGGTTCCCTCACGTCCGGCATCACCTTCTCGTATTCTCAGCTTCAAACCCAGCAGTCTAGCTACTTGAAACTCTCTTACCTTGGTAAAGGATCGATTCAGATGCTCATCATGTGAAGGATCCTCTAGAAGGGCATCAACCAACCGTCTGAGATCAAAATCGATGAGGTCCGACAAAGATAGATGGAATGCTTCCGAAAGGATAGACTTGATCGCGCGAATCCTTATCCGACAGCTACACAGGGTCCACTGAGATGTGGTGCCCTACAATGTCCCGTGAAACATTTATGAATAACATCAGATGAAAACAATGCTAACAAAGATGATCGGCTCACCTGATTAGCCTTGGCGGAATGGGGCGACTGGCAGTAACTAGGGGAGCGCGGGTGAAGTTACAACTTGAGAAGCCACAACGCTATCCCCTGCACACGGGAACAACTCAGCAATAGCAACAAACACCATGGATAAACCCAAGAGTCAAGGTGTAAAAAGAAGCCGATGAAGTTCCAGCATTTGGGAGGAATTATGTATCACAAACACACCATTGAGCAAGCCAGGAAGTCAAAATCTCCAATACAGACGGAATGATGGGAGATCTTACAGTTACAGGTACTATAGTCTATTTCATCATCCACGGGCATGTCATCAGGCTACCTCGTGTCCTCTGCCCGGACCTCGGAGGTAGTCATCAGCGTATGCTCATGGAATAGCCTCAGGCCCTTTTATGCCGGGAAAGAAGAGTGGTGGAATTGAATGGGCAACAAGGGAACTCGACCATGGTGCACCGACTGGCTGCTCAGAAACAACCAGAGGGGTATCCGATGGTGGAGCAGTGGGAGTGGGAGTAGAGTTTGATCCCTGAAATCGCAGAGTTAGTTTAGTACAAGAACAAGTGCAAACCGACTGAGAGACAAGAACAACTCCTATCCAACTCCCCACTTTCCTCGTTTGTACGAAATACCTCTACTATATCATCATACTACACTTCTATATGGTCGTCTAGCAATTAGCAAACAAGCACGCAAGACATACCTTGGGCGACGGGAAAGGACAAGTCTTAGGCCTATCGGAGCTAGTTTCACCAATCAGGCCCTTCTTCTTCACTTTTTGGGTGGATCGGGGCATGCCTCTTGCCTCTCGCCAACCTTTCTGTTAACTTATGGGCATGGCCGACGGATCTCCCATTGGAAATAAAATGTGCATCATCATTTTCAAAGTCTCCCTATGGCTGCCCACCAAGTCTCAAAATCGGGAACACATTAAGGGTCTGGGCGAATGGGATATATATAAGAAATTTGGAGTCAATGATTGGACGTAACGGGAGATAGTACCAACAAAAATATGTTAAATTTAATTAATTAATTAATCATATTTGAATTTTGATTATTTTTTAATTATCTTATATAATTAAACTAACTTAAAATTATGGTCCACTTTTCTCCCATTAAGTCTATCACATTCAAAATATACGTGAGAAGTGGCAGAAAAATCGTGATGGACGGTTTCTCTTTTTTATTATAAATACTCTCACATACGGGTTACTAAACCTACTCTTAAAAGATCAGAATACACCATTACTATTTGAGAGCCAGGGTTTGGCAAACGTCATCCTAGGGTTCCAAGATCTGACATCTTCACAGGGTTCCAAAGTTTGGCAACAGCCTCCTAAGGGTTCCAGATTTTCGCAACACCATCTTCCCACGGTTTCAATCTACCGTTTGCTTGAAGAAGAGAGTATCGAGAACAAATTTAATTTTTAGCAATGGCTGGAGGTTTGTTTCGCTATTCGCTTTCGCTAACATATTTGATTATATGTTTATTTTCTAACATTTGGTATCAGAGCCTTTTTGCTTATGCCTTGCTTTGAATTTTCTTCTCATCAAATTCTTGATCAAGATTCGCTTTAATTTCTTATTTGGAAATATTTTGGTTTTTTATTTTCAACAATTGCTTTGCGATATTTCTTGATCAAGATCCGATCCTGCCATTTGAGAAAATTTCATTATGTTTTTGGAAAAATTTTGAATTTTATTTTAAAATTAATTAACGCAAAATATTAAATTTCTAAATCATGTCTTTCGGTTACAATTGAGATTATACGCGTTGAATGAATATTATGCCTCGATATCCGTGCGTTAAGAATATGTAAGAGGTGTGTTTGGGTTTCCGTGCGACATTTAGTATTGTTGAAGTAGTACTCTTGCTGCAGTGGTAATATTATTATTATTATTATTCTTCATGCGGTATAGTAGCATTGTTGCTATTATTATTATTCTTCCTGCAGTACTATTGTTGCTATTATTATTATTATATTTAATATTATTATGATGATGTGGCATGCGAAATTGTTATTATTATTATCAACATAATCATGAGAAGTACGAACGGTGCAGTAGTATTGTTACTATTATTATTATTATTATTATTTTGCATATATTTGTACTACATTCTTGATTGAAGCATGCTGATGGTATTAATCTCATTTATTTTTGTGAACTTTATATTGTATATTCATGATGTTTGTAATTTATTTTAAATTTTATTTCATTGCGGAATAGCCACAGCATCCTCGATTAATTAAAATTTTATTTATGATTTATTTGAAATCACATTAATAGACATCGATTGTAATTATCATGTACGATGTGATGAGATCTACCTACATGAGTCTTGTCATATTTGAATGAGTAATTAGGATACAATATCGAGTTGTATTTCTTAATCTACCCACAAGAATTGAGAAAATGAACGCAATTTGATAGTTTTATTGTAAAATTTTTGATGAAATCTAATTGAGTAAAACTTTAGCCCACAGGCAAGTCTTATGTCTTTAGATTCATGTCTTGACGTGTTTACATTGATAGAACATGTAATTTATTTGTCTCGTTTATTGATGAGCATGTATGTTTAATTTTGCAGCATTTAATCCTATGAATTTCTCTGACATTAAATATGATATTCCCGAATTGACTGGTGATAATTAAAAAATCTGGAATGAGAGGATTCTCCTTTATTTAGGCTGGATGGACATTGATTATGCTATACGGAAAGACGAGCCGCCGGTTATTACTAAAACCAGCAAGCCAGATGATGTGGATCTTTATGAGCGATGGGAGAGATCTAACCGTCTTTCCATGATGCTCATAAAGACTAAGATCTCTGCTGGTATCCGTGCATCTGTCGATCAACATGATAATGTCAGAGAGCTTTTGAAGGCTATTGACGAACAATTCGTCAAGTCTGATAAGGCTATTGCCAGCACATTGATCATTCAGTTCTCCACCATGAGATTCACGGGTGTGAGAGGTGTGCGCGAGCACATAATGCGCATGCGGGACATTGCGGCACAACTGAAAAGCTTAGAGGTGACCATGTCTTAGACCTTTCTTGTCCATTATATTTTGTGCACTTTACCTCATCAGTACGGTCCATTTAAGATATCCTACAACACACATAAAGATAAATGGTCCATTAATGAATTGATGACCATGTGTGTTCAAGATGAGGAAAGACTATTGATGGAGGAAGGTGAGAAAGTGAACCTAACGGTCCATGGCAAGAAGAGAAAGCATGATACAAAGGGGAAGGACCTATGCCAGCTGAGTGGGTTATAAAGAAAGAGTCTACGTGTTTTTTCTGTAAAAAGAAAGGACACATGAAGAAAGACTGCATTAAGTTCAAAACCTGGCTCGAAAAGAAATGTATCCCTTCTGCATTTGTCTGTTATGAATCCAATATGGTTGATATTAATTATAACACATGGTGGATTGATTCTGGTTCTACAATCCATGTTTCCAATACCTTGCAGGGTATGGAAAACCTAAGGAAACCAATGGGAAGTGAACAGTTCATCTATTCCGGTAGTCGGATGCGTTCATCTGTGGAAGCCATTGGGACGTGCAGTTTAGTGCTGAGTAGTGGTTTTGTTTTGAAGTTGGAAAAGACTTTTTATGTTTCTAGTTTTTCCAAAAATTTAATTTCTGTATCGAGACTATCATGTTTGGGTTTTTCGTTTCACTTTATGGATTCTAGTTTTGTTTTGGATTTTGAATCTAGAACGTTGGTTGTGGTGAAATTAATGATGGTCTTTATTCGATCAAATTGAAAAATGACACTACTTTTAATTCACTGCATGTCACAGCTAGTTTAAAGCGATGTGTTATGAATGAGAACTCATATGTGTTATGGCATCGTCGATTGGGACATATCTCAATTGACAGAATTAAGAGATTAGTGAATGAAGGGATACTTGGTACCCTGGATTACACTGATTTTGAGACTTGTGTCAGTTGCATTAAAGGCAAGCAAATTAACAAGTCCATAAAGGGTGCACAAAGGAGTTCGAATCTTTTGGAAATTATTCATACAGACATTTTTTGTCCAGACATGAATACAAGTAGTCCGAGATACTTCATCACCTTTATTGACGATTATTCAAGGTATATGTATATTTACTTACTTCATTCTAAGGATGAAGCTTTAGAAGCCTTTAAAGTTTTCAAGGCTGAAGTCGAGAAACAACGTGGAAAACAAATCAAAATCGTCAGATCTGATAGAGGTGGTGAGTACTATGGCATATACACAGAAAATGGACAAGCTGTCAGTCCATTTGCTAGGTTTCTTCAAGAGAATGGGATTGTTGCCCAATACACTATGCCTGGTTCTCCGGACCAAAATGGTGTTTCAGAACGAAGAAATCGAACATTAATGGACATGGTGAGGAGTATAAGGAGTAATGTAAAACTTCCTCACTTCTTGTGGACTGAAGCGCTAAAAACGGCTGTGTATGTATTGAACCGGGTACCAACCAAGGTTGTCTCAAGGACACCTTTTGAATTATTTAAGGGTTGGAAGCCGAGTTTGTGACATATACGTGTTTGGGATGCCCGTCTGAGGTGAGAATTTATAATCCACAAGAAAAGAAGCTAGATCCGAGGACTATTAGTGGGTATTTCATTGGATATGCCGAAAAGTCCAAAGGATATAGATTCTATTGTCCATCTCATAGCACTAGTATTGTGGAATCGAGAAATATGAAATTTCTCGAGAATGACTTAGTTAGTAGGAGTGATCATTTTCCAGATACTCATTCTGAAAAAGATCACTATAAAGATCAACCTACTGAGTCGAGTGATAGATTGATTGTTTTCCACGCTCCTCAAGTTCCAACGCGTGTTAGACGATTTACTAATGAAGTTCCACAAACTGATGAAAATGATCATGTAGATCAAGCTGTTAATGAGGAATATCAAGAAAATGTTGAACAACATGCTGTTGAATCGGTTGGTCAACAAGTTCTTCATGATAATGATGAGACAACATTGAGAAGATCTACACGAGTCAGAAAATCAGCTATTTCTAGTGACTTTATGGTGTATCTTCAAGAATCAGATTATGATATAGAAGCCGCAAATGATCCTGAAACGTTTTCACAAGCCATGAATTCTAAAGAATCCGATTTATGGCATGGTGCTATGAAAGATGAGATGGACTCTATGGCATCAAACAAGGTATGGGATCTTGTCGAGTTGCCTGATGGTATAAAAGCCATCGGATGTAGATGGGTCTTCAAAACCAAAATAGACTCTGATGGCAACATCGAAAGACATAAAGCAAGACTTGTTGCTAAGGGATTCACTCAAAGGGAACGAATCGATTACACCGAGACATTTTCTCCGGTATTTAAGAAAGATTCCCTCCTTGTGATCATGGCATTAGTAGCTCAGTTTGATTTTGAGTTACATCAGATGGATGTGAAAACAGCATTCCTGAATGGTGATCTAGAGGAACAGGTTTATATGAAACAACCTAAAGGATTTACCTCTAGTGGTGGAGAAAATTTAGTTTGTAAGCTTAATAAATCCATATATGGATTGAAGCAAGCCTCCCGTCAGTGGTATTTGAAATTTCATGATGTTATCTCTTCATTCGGCTTTGAAGAAAACGTCATGGATCACTGTATATACCAGAAGGTTAGTGGGAGTCATATTTGCTTCCTTGTGTTGTATGTGGATGACATTTTGCTTGTAACTAATGATAAAGGGATGTTATATGAGGTGAAACATTTTCTCTCAAGGAACTTTGATATGAAAGATATGGGAGAGGCATCTTATGTCATTGGCATTAAGATCCATAGAGATAGAAATCGAGGCATTTTGGGTTTTTCTCAAGAAGCCTATATCAAGAAAGTTCTAGAAAGATTTAATATGAAAGATTG